TCTCTGCTGGGAGGTATCATGTATGCCTCTCACCTTCTCTGCTGGGAGGTTTTCATGTTATCCCCCTTCACCTCTCTGCTGGGAGGTATCATGTATCCCTCTCGCCTCTCTGCTGGGAAGTATCGTGTATCCCCCTCACCTCTCTGCTGGGAGGTATCATGTATCATGTATCCCTCACCTCTCTGCTGGGAGGTATCATGTATCATGTATCCCTCTCACCTCTCTGCTGGGAGGTATCATGTATCCCTCTCACCTCTCTGCTGGGAGGTATCATGTATCATGTATCCCTCTCACCTCTCTGCTGGGAGGTATCATGTATCCCTCTCACCTTTCTGCTGGGAGGTATCATGTATCCCTCTCGCCACTCTGCTGGGAGGTATCATGTATCATGTATCCCCCTCACCTCTCTGCTTTGAGGTATCATGTATCTCCCTCACCTCTCTGCTTTGAGGTATCATGTATCCCTCTCACCTCTCTGTTGGGAGGTATCATGTATCCCTTTCACCTCTCTGCTGGGAGGTATCATGTATCATGTATCCCTCTCACCTCTCTGCTGGGAGGTATCATGTATCCCTCTCACCTCTCTGCTGGGAGGTATCATGTATCCCTGTGACCTCTCTGCTGGGAGGTATCATGTATCATGTATCTCTCTCACCTCTCTGCTGGGAGGTATCATGTATCCCTCTCACCTCTCTGCTGGGAGGTATCATGTATCTCTCTCACCTCTCTGCTGGGAGGTATCATGTATTATGTATCCCTCACCTCTCTGCTGGGATGTATCATGTATCCCTCACCTCTCTGCTGGGAGGTATCATGTATCATGTATCCCTCTCACCTCTCTGCTGGGAGGTATCATGCATCATGTATCCCTCTCACCTCTCTGCTGGGAGGTATCATGTATCCCTGTCACCTCTCTGCTGTGAGGTATCATGTATCATGTATCCCTGTGACCTCTCTGCTGGGAGGTATCATGTATCATGTATCTCTCTCACCTCTCTGCTGGAAGGTATCGTGTATCCCTCTCACCTCTCTGCTGGGAGGTATTATGTATCATGTATCCCTCACCTCTCTTCTGGGATGTATCATGTATCCCTCTCACCTCTCTGCTGGGAGGTATCATGTATCCCTGTGACCTCTCTGCTGGGAGGTATCATGTATCATGTATCCCTCTCACCTCTCTACTGGGAGGTATCATGTATCCTTTTCACCTCTCTGCTGGGAGGTATCATGTATCATGTATCTCTCTCACCTCTCTGCTGGAAGGTATCGTGTATCCCTCTCACCTCTCTGCTGGGAGGTATCATGTATCTCTCTCACCTCTCTGCTGGGAGGTATCATGTATTATGTATCCCTCACCTCTCTGCTGGGATGTATCATGTATCCCTCACCTCTCTGCTGGGAGGTATCATGTATCATGTATCCCTCTCACCTCTCTGCTGGGAGGTATCATGCATCATGTATCCCTCTCACCTCTCTGCTGGGAGGTATCATGTATCCCTGTCACCTCTCTGCTGTGAGGTATCATGTATCATGTATCCCTGTGACCTCTCTGCTGGGAGGTATCATGTATCCCTCTCACCTCTCTGCTGGGAGGTATCATGTATCATGTATCCCTCACCTCTCTGCTGGGAGGTATCATGTATCATGTATCCCTCTCACCTCTTTACTGGGAGGTATCATGTATCCCTCTCACCTCTCTGCTGGGAGGTATCATGATCATGTATCCCTGTCACCTCTCTGCTGGGAGGTATCATGTATCATGTATCCCTGTCACCTCTCTGCTGGGAGGTATCATGTATCCCTCTCACCTCTCTGCTGTGAGGTATCATGTATCATGTATCCCTGTGACCTCTCTGCTGGGAGGTATCATGTATCATGTATCCCTCTCACCTCTTTACTGGGAGGTATCATGTATCCCTCTCACCTCTCTGCTGGGAGGTATCATGATCATGTATCCCTGTCACCTCTCTGCTGGGAGGTATCATGTATCATGTATCCCTGTCACCTCTCTGCTGGGAGGTATCATGTATCCCTCTCACCTCTCTGCTGGGAGGTATCATGTATCATGTATCTCTCTCACCTCTCTGCTGGAAGGTATCGTGTATCCCTCTCACCTCTCTGCTGGGAGGTATTATGTATCATGTATCCCTCACCTCTCTTCTGGGATGTATCATGTATCCCTCTCACCTCTCTGCTGGGAGGTATCATGTATCATGTATCCCTCACCTCTCTGCTGGGAGGTATCATGTATCATGTATCCCTCTCACCTCTCTGCTGGGAGGTATCATGCATCATGTATCCCTCTCACCTCTCTGCTGGGAGGTATCATGTATCCCTGTCACCTCTCTGCTGTGAGGTATCATGTATCATGTATCCCTGTGACCTCTCTGCTGGGAGGTATCATGTATCCCTTTCACCTCTCTGCTGGGAGGTATCATGTATCATGTATCCCTGTGACCTCTCTGCTGGGAGGTATCATGTATCCCTCTCACCTCTCTGCTGGGAGGTATCATGATCATGTATCCCTGTCACCTCTCTGCTGGGAGGTATCATGTATCATGTATCCCTGTCACCTCTCTGCTGGGAGGTATCATGTATCCCTCTCACCTCTCTGCTGGGAGGTATCATGTATAATGTATCCCTGTCACCTCTCTGCTGGGAGGTATCATGTATCCCTCACCTCCCAGCCAGGCCAGGCAGGGAGGAAGTCTGTCCCCTAAATGACCGAAGTCCGGTCAAAGACGGCGCACTACAGACATACACGGGGACGAAACAACTCATGTCCCTACAGAGAGGGAGAGGGGGGAGAGAGGGGAGGAAGAGAGAGAGGGGAGGGAGGGAGAGAGGGAAGGAAGAGAGAGAGGGGAGGGAGAGAGAGATGGGGGGAGAGAAAGGGGAGGAAGAGAGAGAGAGAGAGGGGGGAGAGAAAGGGGAGGAAGAGAGAGAGAGAGAGGGGGGAGAAGGAGAGAGAGAATGTAATGGAGAGAGAGAGGGGAGAGAGAGAAGGAGAGAGAGAGGAGGAGGAGAGAGAGAGAGAAGGAGAGAGGGGGGGGGAGAGAAAGTGTGAGGGAGAGAGAGAAAGAGTAGGGGGGGCAGTCAGTGCAGCACTCTTGTGTTTTCGCTGTAAAACGCATTCATTGAAGCAAGGCCAAGATATCCCGACAAAGCAAACAACATGCTTTCCTTGACCCGAGAGGCGAAGAAGTAATAAGTAATCCACATCTCTCTCTCTCTCTCTCTCTCTCTCTCTCTCTCTCGGGGTCGGGAGGCATGCGACAGGTTTCAGCCGACAGACGTGTGATATACCGCACATCACAGGTCCCCAGTGGTGCAACAGCGCTCGCCTCCTCAATGGCCACACTGACAACACGCTCGGAGAACGCTTACGATTGGTCCATTGTAATGTCTGTGTTGCACTGATTGGTCGAGCCCCCTGGTTTTCACGTGATCGCGTGAGGCCTGATTCGCTTCTAAAAATAACTAACCTTGAATTTCACAGTTTCATGCTGTTTTGCGATGGTTCCATTCATTTTCGGCTCATGATTTTTGAGAGGCAGCGGGACTGTGTGGATGGCGAGGAGTTAATTTCTTGATTTCTTCGTGTACCAATCTATGTGCTGGAAGGAGTAGCTTTTCACATCGCCATATTCGTTTTGGGTAAAAATACAAGTAAGTGGAAGTGGAGTGGCTATTAGGCTAGAGGCTATAGATCTAGATCTACTGTCTGACTTTCAGATAACAATTTCATCAATTTATAGCCTGTAGGACTGTAGGCTAGGCCTAGATTCTAGATCTAGATCTAGATCTACTTATCATCTGACTAAAGACTGGGTGTAATTCTAGATCTAGATCTAGACTTAAATAGATGTAGAGAGATCTAAGCCAAATCTATTCTAGATCTAGAATCTAGATCTAGACTAGATCTAGATCTATCTCTCAATGGAGAGCCTCGGACCGGTAGATCTATTCATTATAATTTTGTCAGGGGGGAGACCCCCCCCCCCCCTAGAATCCCCCCCCTCTCCCTCCTCCACCCCAACCACCCGCCCCACCTACCCCG